CCCCCCCCCGTGTGTGTGTGTGTGTGTGTGTGTGTGTGTGTGTGTGTGTGTGTGTGTCCTCAAAACTGTGATTGGAGTTAGAAGAGCCCTGGACATTTGTGAGAACATTGTTAGGCAAGCCCCAGGGTTCTGCCTTGAGACGTTTGGTGAATGTCCATTGCCACATTTAACTCACCAATGTGGAAGCTGATAAAAGTTGATCGCCAGGGCTCTGAAAGCTATTTCAAGGTTATTTTTAACTGAGACACTTGTAAGGGCTGGAGAGCATTAACTCTGCCCTGCTTACAGCAGTTAGCTCAGTTTAACACAGCAGATTGCTTTGATTCATTCATTAAATATATAATTTTTTGCATTAATTGAGCTCATTTGATGAGAAATATTCTCACTCTATAAAATTTCTGGCTAATGGCTTGGAAATCTATTCAAATTCTGCACTCATAAATTCATTTCAGAACTTTCAAAGAGCTAGGTCCTTCAAGCAAGCTGAGATGCAGCCTACATACGCAAGCAAAGCCTAACCCACAGGAAGGCTGGGGCGGCACAACATGGATTTTTTTCATGTAAGCACAATCACCGAGTTTATCTATTTAATTTTTTTAAGTAGAACAAATTGTACATCACACCATACAAGTCTTTAGCTTTGGGCTTTGTGCCCCAGAGGCACAAAGGATTCACTCACACTGCACCATCATACAGAATACAAGAGGCCTTGGGAGCTGAGTCCATTATTTAGGTGGAAGTCTTTTCTTCATGTATTTATCTGTGTGTGCACGTGTATGTGGGAGCATATGTATTCACACGTGTGTGGAAACTTGAGGACAACCACCCAGTTTCGTTCCTCGGGTGCCTTCTGCCCCTTTGCTTTTCAGTCTTCTGAGGCATCTCTCACTGGCCTGGACCTCACAAGGCAGGCTCCCCAGACTGGCTGGTGAGCCCCAGGGATCCACCCACCTCTGTCTCCTTAGGACTGAAAGAGCATGCCACCACACCTGGCTCTTCCTGCATGAGTTCTGGGGTGAGGGTGGGCCAAACTCTGGTTCTCATGTTTGGAAGGATGCAACTCTATGAACCAAGCCGTTTATCCAGCCCTAGATGAAAGTTCTAGGGACCATTGCTTGTGAAATCAAATGATGGAGAACTCAGACGACCGGATTTGAGGATAACATTTGTTTGAAATCCAATGTCCCTCTTTCCACTTTTGTGCCTCAATCACAAAGAAGAAAACAAAGTCACTAAACTGAGGAATGGCTTATATATGGCCTCATTCATGTTTCGTAGAAAGGAAAGATGATGCTAACCCCTGCCATTCAGGCTCACCTAGACAGCGGCCAGCGCCAGTCCACAAGTAGTTATAATTATCCCAGAAGCTCTGCATCGTTCCTGAGCAGCCATCTGTAAGTTCTTCCAAACAACAACAACAACAACAAAATCACTTGTTTTAGTTTTCATCAAGCTGACTAGAAATGACCAGGTGGCTCTGGGAGAAATTTAATCAAGCAAAACTTAAATATTAATTACAAGCTCCATATGAATCTAATGTTCTCTGCTTCCCAGAGCAAAGGCTGAGAACGAAGTCACTGAGGTAATCTGATTTCACTGTGGAAAAGGAGAGATTTTTCAGTGCTTGAGGTCAGCGTCCTCCTCTGCTCAATGTTTACCTGGGGCATGAGGGTCCCAGTAGGAGTCAGGAGGAAAAGCGTCCTGCAGGAAGACCATAGCCTCCCATCTTCATGAAGACTGGAAACCCGGAACGTTGATTCAGAAACCTCCCCAGCACCTGTGGCTTGAGTGCGGCCCTTCGTGTGTGTTCTGAGAGCTATGACAGGTCGGTCATCTCCTTAGAAGGTTCCCACTTCCCTCCTGATCCTTTAGGCCTGTCTCTTAGAGCAGCAATAATCTCTCCCATTTATACCGAAGGTCCTCAAAGTCCCTCATCTGCCCCACATCTACCATGGATCCACAGCACTGAGGAAAGTCCTTGAAGCCAGCAGCCCTCCCTCATCTTGCCAGCCTGCTTGTGATGAAGTAAAGTGAGCATGACCATCCCTCTTATGGATGTGAGGATGAGATGTGCCAAGGCCCCCCATGGGAGATGCTGTTGGAAATCCAGCTGCCACAAGTCCTGTACCTGGTGACCCCCTCACCTGGGACCTCCCTGGGGTAGTGTCACCTATGCTTTGCTGTACTGGGAAGGCAGTGTTCTTCAGCCTTACAGCCAGCCTTCCTGTGGTAACAAGTGACACCTGGACCCTCCTGCAACCTCCCTGTTCTTTCTTACATGTTGCTGAGTGCTGCTCTGCTCCTCCCCGTCGGGACCTCATTGTCACCTACGGCTCACCTCACTGCTCAGTCATCTCACCTGTCCAGACACCACTTCTCTTTTCCATGGAGGGAAGCGAGAGTAGTCCTCGGCTCGCACAGCCGTTGTCTTAAAAGACCTACCGTGGGGAAGAGACACTGTGTTCCTGCTGTTCTTACTCCAGAGACAGCAGGTGGGGAGTAAGAAGCAACTGAGAGACTCTAGGCCTGTGGGCTGAAGATGGATGCCCCAATATTGCAGAGGAACTGTGGGTGACTGTCCAGGCAGCCAGCTGTCTCTGTCATTCTAGATTTTTGGAAGTTGCTTACAATGCATTTCCTGTTTACTTAGGTAATATTATATCCTTCTGAAGTCTTTGATGTAGTTGAAGACTAGATGGTTATAATTATAATTTTCCTTAGTTATGATAAAAGATAAGTTAGATATGAAACTTTAGACTCACAAATATAGGATAGATAAAATATTTTTTTTACCTTTGCCAAATATAAATAGACTAGATATTGTAGCTGTAATTCTTGCTTGATAACTGTTCTATTATATGTAATTTTACTATGTTAAATTTAAAACCTTCCTTTTTGATTAGAAAGAAAAGGGGAAGTGCTGTGGAATATCTTTCTGTATGCTGTGAATATGTGCTGCTCTGATTGGTTGGTAAATAAAACTGTTTGGCTTATGGCAAGGCAGCTTAGAGGCAGGCAGGAAATCCAGGAGAGAGACAGGAAGAAGAAAGGCAGAGGAGGAGGAGACGCCATCCCGCCATCCAGGGAGCAGCATGTAATGGCACACAAGTAAAGCCACAGAACATGTAGTGACATATAGATTAATAGAAATGGGCTGGGGGCTGGAGAGACGGTTCAGCGATTAAGAGTACAGACTTCTTTTTTCAGAGGTCCTGAGTTCAATTCCCAGCAACCACACTGTGGCTTACAACCATCTCTAGGGGGATCTCATGCCCTCTTCTGGTGCAAATGCATACAGGCAATTAGAGCACTCATCCATAAAATAAATAAATAAAAGATCTTAGAAAAACCTATAACTAAAACAAAAAAAGAAAGAAAGAAAAAAGAAATGGGCTGAGTTTATTTATAAGAGCTAGTAGCAAGAAAATTGAGCCATAGGTCATGGCCATTCAATTCATAATTAATATAAGCCTCTGCATGTTTATTTGGGGTCTGAGCGGCTGTGGGACTGGGTGGGCCACAGAAAAACTTCCAGCTACAGAGAGTAGATGTGAGGCAGAGAATTTGCAACTCTCCACACCTTTCTCAATATGTCTACTCATTGAATCCTGTTGTCCAAACTTGGACTCTGCTCCCCTCACTGGCGACAGACTCTCTAGATATCTTTATCCCAGACAGGGATAAACTGGTGAATTCACCCATGTTTTTCTCAGTATGACGTCTACATGAAAACAGTCATTAATCAACGAAGACTCCAATTTGCCTTTTTTCTTGTCTTGACCAAACAATTTTCAAGTGGACATGTAAAAAAGAAATATGCTATATTAAGGACCAATAAGCCATACGGACATTGAAACCATGGACTCGAATAACATTTGGTATTGTGTCAACAAATAATTTGATTTTGACAGTGTTCTTTTGCTTAACTAGAATTAATTTTCTAAACATTTGTTCCCTTCAAGTTTTCTCAGAACTTGATTTAAAAACTGAACTTGATGTTGGCGGTATTTGTGAATTACTTTGAAGAACTGTATGCTGTTGTGAACATAGGGGCTGTCTGTTGAATAATGGCCATTTCACAGTGCTTCTCCAAAATTCTGCTGAAATGTAAAGAGCAGTATTAGGATGAAAAGACAAAGGTCCATCCCTTTTTAAACACAGGCAGTGAGTAAGGTTGAAAAAAAAGCAGCCTTCTCTGGAGTAAACAGCTGCAAAGTTACTGATAATTTTATTTTTAATTGAAAAAAAAATTTTCATACAATACATTCTGATCATGTTTTCCCTTCTCCAGAACTCCTCTCAGATTCTCCCTATGTCCCCAATTACTGAGGCATTTTCCGAGACTGTGTTGCTCGGGCCTAGTGCCCTCTCCCATACACCAGAACTTCGAGAATTAAGCCTATGCTGCTGTCGGGAAATGACAGTTGTTTAGAAACATCTGTTGTCTAGGGGAGGAAGATTTAGGTATTGAACTGGCTGTTGGCCAAGACCCATGGTAGTTTCGGTTCCACAAGTGACTGGCGACTACTCAGCACACACTCAGCAGTCTCCTGCTTTAGTCCCCAGCTTCGGAGTCAGGGAGAGACAGAGAGTGGGACACCCAGCTTCAGTGTCAGGGAGAGGCAGAGAGTGGGACACCCAGCTTCAGTGTCAGGGAGAGGCAGAGAGTGGGACACCCAGCTTCAGAGTCAGGGAGACGAAGAATGGGACACCCAGCTGGGCACCCAGGGTGTGCTTCAAAGCTTTCATCTTCAGAGGAAAGAGACCTTGTGAATTCATTAATGTCAACAAGATCTGAGAAGATTGAAGGATTTAAGCCCTTGGGCATCTCCAGCATGCCAGCTGCTTTGGTTATTAAAAGTTTTTGGTTGCAAAACTATCACAGCTTTGGTTCACACACCACAAACCAAGACTTTGGAAATATCCGTTGCAGAGTCATCCTTCAGGGTACAGTCTCCAACGGGATGCAAAGTCTGTGGAAGAAGCGGTGCCTGGGTGTGGCCTCTGGCACAGAAGCATCGAGAATTCCCAAAGGGGTGACACATAGCCATAATTAAAGGGGTAAAGATCAGTCCCTTCCAAGTGCCTGTAATGCAAAAAAATAACAGTAGTTTTTTTTAAAACGTGAAAGGCAACATTTCTTGAAGGTTCTGAAAGCAGTTAACCTCAACCATCACCCCAAAGCCAACTCCCCTTACTCAGTGTGGGAAAGTGAATTTTACCCCAGTTCCCCGGGCACTTCCTTGCTTCTGTATCCCCCACCTTCAGAGGTCAGACCAGGACTCACAGTGATCTCCCCCATAATTATCCAAACTCCAGAGAAGGACATCTTCTCACTCTAGAACAGAGAAAGCTATTCATATAAAGGAAACCAAACTGACATCAAATAAAGAACGACTTCTGCCAAAAACAAATTCTGATACTTTAGTTACTGAAATGTTTTTAACAGATAAACATGTGTGTGTGCATCTCGCTTCTCCTCCTTCATCACTGGAATTAAAAGAGAAAGGAACTCAGCCTCACCTAGTCATTCCAGCATTCAGGAGGCTGAGGGAAGAGAATCGATAAGCCTCAGAGTTCAAAACCAGCCTTAGATTTGTCAGTGTGTGTGTGTGTGTGTGTGTGTGTGTGTGTGTGTGTGTCTTAGCCATTCTGACTGGGGTAAGACGAAATCCCAAAGTAGTTTTTATTTGCATTTCCACAATACTGCAGATTTTTATGAATACCTCACAACAATTTGTATGTCATCTTTTGAGAACTGTTTAGTTCCATGTCCTATATTTTAATTGGATTGTTTGTTTTCTTGATGTTTGCTTTGCTTAGTCCTTTTAATATTTTAGATGCTATTCACATATGGCTGTGTAGCTGGAAAGATGTCTTCCCATTCTGCAGGCTGCCTCTTCATTCAACTCATGGTATCATTTACTGTACAGCAGCTTTTGGCTCTCATGAGATCCCATTTGTCAGCTGTTGGTCTTAATGCCTAAACTACCAGGGCTCTGTTTGGAAAGACCTTTCCTTTGCCTGTAAGTTGAAGCACATCCTCTGTGTTCTCCTCTGTCAGATTCTAGGCATTGGGTCTTAGGCTAGGATCCCTGATCCATTCGTAGTTGAGTTTTGTTTGGTCTGAGAGAGAAGAATCTGTTCTTCCACTGCAGCCATCCAGTTTGACCAGCACCGTTTGCTGAGGAGGCGTCTTTTGTCCAGTGTGTAAGGCTGGCTTCCTTGTCCAAACCAGGTGGATGTAGGTCTATGGACTTACGTGTGGACCCTCAGTTCTATTCCATTGGTTGTTGTGTCTGTTCTCATGCCAATCTCAGGCTGTTTTATGACTATAGTTCTGTAGTATAATTGAAATCTGGGGTCGTGATACCTCTAGTGCTGTTTTTATTGTTCAGGGTTGTTTAGGTTATCCTGGGTCTTTTGTGTTTCCATGTGAAATTTAGGATTATTTCTTCAATTTTGTGAAGAATTGTGTTGAGTTGTGATGGGAATTGAGTTGAATCTGGGGATTGCTTTTGATAGAACGGCCATTTTCACAATAGTAATCCTACCAATCTATGCACCCGGGAGATCTTTCCTCTTCCGGTAACTTTTCAACATTTTCAGTGTCTTAAAGTTTTCATTGTACTGCTTGAGCTTGTTTGTTTGCTTGTTTGTTTTGTTGTTGTTATTGTTGTTATTTTTTGGTTTTGCTATCGTAAATGGCATTATTGCCCCAACTACAGATGCCGGCAGGAATGTAGGACAGGGGACACACATTCACTGCTAGTAGGAGTACAAACTGTGTGTCACTGTGCACGTTCCTCAAAAAGCTGGAAATGGATCTGTCACATGACCCAGCTGAACTGCTCTTGAGTATATTTCCAACATTCTCTAAATCCTCGTAGAGAGCACTTGCCACAATAGCCAGGAAGTGGAAACAGCCTAGATGTCTATCAACAACTGAATGGATAATGAAAATACAGTACATGAGCACAATGGAACATTATTCAGACATTAAGAAAAATGACATTAAGAAATTCACAGGTGAGTGAATAGCGCTGGAAACAGCTATTCTGACTGAAGTGACCCAGACTCAGAAAGACAAATATCATGTTTTCTCTCATCTGTGGATGTTATCTTGATCTTTAAATATGTGTGTTTCATATCTAACACATAACATAGTCCATATGGAATACCCATCGAGGTCAGGAAACTAGTAAGGGGACATGGGAAAGGGGGTTCTCAAGGGAGGGGAGATAGACTGTGCCAGTATAAAGGGGAGGGTGAAATAAGGGGTCAGGGAGGGTTACATGAGGTGGGAGGGCAGGGTAACAGAGATCTTAGGACCTAAGACCTTACTTGAGTCATAAAACAGAGAAATTGTGCTGATACTCACCAGGATGCTTCGTCTCTGTTGGCCACTTTTTCCATAGTGCTGAAAGGCGCTGTACATGCTCCTGGAGGAGAAAGTCTGTATCAGCCTTATCCGTCTGTGAGTCCTGCAAGCCGCAGGAATGACTGCCCTGGCAGGACATGCCCACTGGTGCGGTGGTGGTGCAAATGTCAGGGAATTAATCAATCAATCAATTAATTAATTAATCCACTTTCTGATTGGATTTAAGGCCCACTTCATACAATGGATAAGGAGAAACTCCCAGTGTAGAGCTGGGAGGTAGACAAGAAGTCCTATCCCTAACTGAGGAGTCTGCACATGCAAGTGTGTGCATGTGTGAGTGTGTGAGTGTGTGTGTGTGTGTTTTAAAAAGGACATAAAATAAGGTAGGTAGGGAAGAGGATGGACCTGAGAGGAGCTAGAAGGGGAGGGATAAATATGATCAAAGTCCACTGAATGAAATTCTCAAAGAATTAATAAACTATTTTAAATAATAAATAATATCCTAGGCAATATAATGAGATCCCATCTCAAAAGAAAGGAAAAATGACTCAAAACCCACCTTTTCTAAATTCATAAACATCACATTATCTTATTATTATTAGACTGGCATTTTTTAATATTGGGAGTTATTTAAATAAACTTCTTTTTAAAAATTGGGTTTTACTTCACTGAACTTGATCCCCCTTAAGCAGCGGTTATCACAAACAGGAAATTGCCGTTCTGGCCTTCTCAATCTTCCAGTGCTAAATCCAGCAAGCCCGGAGCAAAGTATCACTTAGAACCTGCATAGAGCAGAAACTCTACAGTGGTTCGGTGTCCAAAAGAAACATCTCTGATAGTGACATTTGCTACAAAATCTGCCCAGCTTACCTGCAGAGGCCTGCACCTGGGCCCTGATGACGTCACCTCAAGCCACTAAAGGAGGAGGGCAGCTCCTTTAACTGTGACTGACGCCATGAGAAACAAACAAACAAACAAACAAAGAAGTGAAATCACAAGTCTTTGCCTTTTTCTTTTATTGGATTTCCCTATTGCCTAGACGGGCCTTGAACTCATAATCCTGCTGCCTCCCCCTCTATTTCTTGAGCGTGGGAATTACAGGGGCACGCCACCACATCCAGACAGGTCGCAGGGACTTTTGAGTTCCTTTTCTGACCCAGAATCAACCTCATTCCTTCTGTTGGTGTGTTTTAAATTCCGCTCCGCGTTACTTCAGCAAGCTCACCCAGCCACCGCAGACGGGAGTCCTTGCTGGAGGCCGAGTATGCCACCCGGGGCCTCGGTGTTCGAGGGCACTCTGGCAGTTTGCTTCATGTTGATGAACACGCCCTCCCTGGGGAAAGCTTCGATCTGGGTTTGGCCTGGAGTCACGTTCAAGCACTCTGTATTTCGAAGCTCACATTGCAGCTGCCATTCAGCCTCTGCTGTGCGCGAGCTTGCCAGTTTGCCTCTGTGACTGGTGCTGCCCAGGGTGAAGGCCAGCTCAGTTCTGCGTGCTTACGCCTCTCTTTATCCCTGGCATACTTCTGATTTCTTCATTTACTTAAAGGGCTACCCGGTGCTTGGAAGGCAACACCAATCTCCTTCGTTATTAGGCTTGAGTTATATAAATCCAGAAATTTCTACAAGTTGGCAAGTTGGGCAAGGAGAGATTGGGAACAAGAGTCTAGGCATCATCGCCATCTGCCCTCATCCAGAATTTTGTTCTTGTTTTCTTTTAGCATTTTTGTTATGCTTATTTTTATTTTCAGTTTTAGTTTTTTGACGTGTGAAGGTAAATGTGTGCCGTGGCACACGTGGAGGTCAGAGGACAGCTTATGGAAGTCAGTTCTCTCTTTGCATCATGCAGATCCCAGGAACTGAACTCAGGTCACCAGGGGATTGGTGGCCAGTGAGCCTTCTCGCCATCCCTTCACCCCTCACCTTCTTCTCCCGACCCTCACAGAGTGCGTGAGGCATCGCCTGACTGGCCATTGCAGGCCCAAAGGGGGAGGTGGGCAGGCAATGCCTTGGTCGTCTTCTCCGATGACCCTGTTCCCAGCCATGCGATCTTGTCTCCTCGCTGTGACGTGTCAGAGTTAACGAAGGTGAAGGGAGCTCCCTTCCTAGGGTGGGATTGTTCATTACCTTAGTCGTGCCAGAAAGAGCCGACAGGGTTCATGCCTTTGGTGTGCTGGTGAAGGACCTAGAGCAAGCCTTTATTTGATTCCTGTATGCTTGTCCTGACCTAAAGAAGGCTTTTATTTCCGAGTAACAGGGGCTGTGACTGTTCAAGAGACTCTTTCCATTCACCATTAAAGAGTATTTCCAAAAACGGCATTCAAAGCAGAAAAACCCAAATCTGAATCGAACTCTCTCTGAGCCAGGTAGCCATCCACACACATCCTTATGGCTTTTCCCTCGGGCACCCAGTGAAAACAAGTGGGGCAGAGTTCTCTCAGAGCACACATCCAGTGGACGGCAAAAGGACGCCAACAAGGGGACAGTGAGGCTGGCGTTCACGAGTGGCGTGAGTTCCCACGGGTGCCGGTTCATCTGTCCTGTATGAAGAGCAGCCCGAGGAGAGTTCCTCACCCAGCTGGTGAGCTCCCCCCACCCCACACACACCCCAACCCCGGGCAAGGGCCCGATGTCTTCTCATGTCCCTTCGTCCTGCCAGGCCCAGCAGAGCTTTCCCTGTGCACAAAGAACACCCTGTAACAGTAGCTGCCGTTGCCGCCAAGGCCAAGGGTGGGCTCAGGCCCAAGGAGCAAGGCTTCAAAGGCAATCCCAAACCTGGCTTCAGAAGATCGTGCTCGCTCCAGCAAAGCTGGCCTTCCTTCCTGCCTTGAACGTCTTGCCTCTGATTGTGCTCCTTTTTGTGTGTATAATGGTGGCAATAAATAAAGCAAAAGAACGAAGCTCCTACCGTCTAGAAGTTGAAATCACACTGGAGGTGTTTTATCAAAATTCTGCATGATCCCCGTCTGCTGCTGGCCAGCGTCCACCAAGTAGCAGATATCTGTGTGAAATGTAAATGTGTCTTACATAACTGCCCTTTGCCGTGGCCCTCCGTGAAGGGTTAGCTGCTCCTCAGGCATGAACTGAGTTCTTTAACCAGGAAGATGCCATCCGTGAGCATATAGGAAGTACACACCTGTCTGGTTCTGACCTGAAGAAGAACGAGACGTAGAATCAGGGGCAGGATCATTTCAAAGGGATGAGCGAGGAGAGGACTTTTGAATGCCTTTAATCCTGAAGCAGATTGCTCAGATAATCAGAGAAGAGTCAACATTCAAAGTGCTAAACGCAGTTCAACTAACTGGGAACTGGGAACTGCCTCGGGGAGGTCGTCGCCTGCCTCCTGCATGCCAGCATCTCTAAGAACATTCCCCATCGCTTGTTCAACTATTTGCATGTCATTCTTACGGGGGCACGAAGCCTGGCTTATGCCCTCCATATGTGCCCTACATGTTTAGCTATAAATAAAAGTTATCTTTTCCATCATCAGCGTCCCTCCCAAGCCATCGAAATATAGACTCCCCACTTCCTACACTGAAACTCCATCTTCCTAACCAGAACTGACAATTGTAAATAACCACCTGGTTGATGCTGTTGTTATTGTTGTTTTAAGTGCCCTATTCTCACAAACATATTTTCCGGTGGTGTTGTCTGCATTTAAAGCAGGGAGCTCAAAGGAGTCCCCTCCATTCCTGCTCCTCAAGACACTGAGAACAGTGCAGTTTCAAAATGAGATCACATCAGCACCTGCCCGTCAACACGGCGCGACATTAGCCTGCCCTGTCACCATTACAGCACGCGAAACAAGCCGCAGGCTCTTGATTTTTGTTTTGCCTTTTGGTCTTCCTCGGCCCCCGTGATACCCATTCTCCAACCACGAAACAGTGCAACTCCAACTGCCCTCTGAACAAACAACCTCTATTCTGCTCTGTCCTTTTATCGCTGGGGTTGCTACACAGTGCGAAACAGAAAGAAGCCACTGAGCCACTCCTACAGTTAAATACTTTTTAGAAAGTAAGAACATGGAATAAAGTGTTGCTTGTCGCTGCTGCGCGCTGAAAGGGAGTGGAAAACAGGGTGTGTTGCGCTCCCCATTGTGCGCAGACTTCCCAAACTCCCTCAGCTCCATCGGGAAAATGTGCCTGTCCTGTGACCCATTCAGCGCTTGACCTTTGGGGCACAACAAAAGGCGCTATTTACCAGTGGTTAATACATGGATCTTTGTCTAGCAGGAGCTGTCTCAAGGCTGTCACAGTCCTGCATCACCCATTTTATTTTCCAGGTGTCCGTGGGGCAGAGGGTGCTGCAGGTTCGACCGTCCGAGGCAAATAGAGCCTGCCAAGTTCTCCCTAACTATGTGAGAGACCACGAGCTGATGCTGATGAGGAATGTCATTTGGGGGGAAGGAGGACACAGAGAATGGCCGGAGGCACCCTGGGGCATTCTTTCCACTCTAGATGGACTCCTAGGACATTGACTTCATTCCTAAGGATACACTTGCACTTAGCTGTCAGCCTTATCATGTATAGCAGCATCCCCTCCCCTGTAGCTTGGCCTGACTCTGTTGTTACCTTGTTTCCTGGTCCCCTTCTGACTTTGTTTAGGACCATTCTTTTCCCCGCACACCTCCATCGAACAGCAGCCACACCCGCCTCTGCCAACTCACACATCTCCTTTCGAATCCTTCTCTTCCAGTTCAACTCGGGGACCCTCTCCTCCGGACAACTCCTCATGTTCTCCATTCCTAACTGTACCCTCTCTTCTCAGGATGCGCCATGTCAACCTTTGATGATGATGATGATGATGATGATAATGGTAAAGCCTGATATGATTTACTGATATTTATGCTTTCTCCAAAATTATGACTAGTCTTTACAATGCTTCTCTCTTGATGATAAATATTCTCTTCACACCATAAATATTGTTTGGAACAATGTTCATGAATGTGTTCCATGTGTTTGACATTTTGAATAACCAGCCACTTTATGAGTCAGACTTTAAATGGACTTAAATCTCATTCACAATGTGATGGAAAGGGGTCCACCATGGGGGCAAAAATCACCTAATTGCATTCGGTTTTGTAAACCTTTGTAAGTTCACTTTATGGAATAAATTAATATGCGTCACAGTTGGAAGACTGTTTTTGCAAATTTGGTGTATTTCTACCTGCCTTCACTCCCTCCAACCAAACCGATCAGAATGGCAATCTGCTTTTTCTGTATCATCTAAGACAGTGGTGTTCTTCTAGAAGTTTCTGGGGAGACCTAAAGCGAAAGAAGCGTCTGTCTGTGTTGTGTGGGACCGCCATGGTTATCTTTGCTCTGGTCTGAACTATTACCCTGTCTTTTTGATTTGTCCCGGCATAACTGGGGGTAAGAAGTTTGAAGCATCACTGTAACCTCTACTGCTCTTACATTCCAGCGAGGTAAACATTTGAAGCCTGTGTTTGCGGTGTGGACGAATAAGCCCTTCCTCTGTGAGGTGCAAGTTTTCAGGCTGGCCTGAGCTCACATCTGCATCCCTCTGGCTCCTAGAAGCCCAGCTTGTTGCCCTTTTCTGTGTCACCAGGCAATGTGAGCTGCTTCTCCAGAGGCAATAACATCTCCCTTCTAGGGACAGTAACACTAAAGCCCTTGGAAATCTGTGGATGCAGCAGAAAGTGTGTAATCACTGTGTTCGAGCCTGGAGGGTGCACGGGGGGTGTTCTTCTGTCAGAACTGTGGTTCTCCAGACATCTCACAGTCTAGGCTATCGGGAACCTTCCACCCGAATAGCTGTAGCCTGAGCTTATTGAGTGGGAGGTCTGAGGTGCAGGTTCAAGGCCTGCCAAGGACATCTAGACTTGCTTCCTCCCTGACACCAGTAAGACAGTCACAGTGGCTAGCTGCAGGCTGGGAGAGGCTGGGAGAGGCTGGGCAGCAGTCAGGCCTCTTCTGGACTAGCAAGCTCCAGCGCCGGCAGCAGCACTGACCCCTGGTATACCAGGACCCTAAGATCGGTCATCAAATATCATGTCATTCCGGAGCACATAAACAGCAAAGTGCTGGGAGTAATTGCAGGACTCTGGGGTCCCTAATCCTCAAGAGCGAGACTTCACCGTGTGCACAAAGCAGCAGAGACACAGGGCACAGCTCTAAGCTGAACCTGTCTTTCTCCTGCCCATTGTGAGCCATGTGAGGCCACCTGCCTGGTCTAACCGTAGACAGTTCCCTCTGCTGCTTGCGCTGGACAAAACCAAGACCCAAGGGAACACTCTGTGATCAGTGGACAAAGAGATCTTCTGGCTGGAAAGGGGGCTCATCACATGGTCCTCTCACTTTGTTTCTTTATTTTAGATTAATTTTCACCAGCTCTGCCCTGGGATTTGGTGTTTTTTCTTGTTTGTTTGATGGGTTTCTTGGTTGGTTGGCTTTTTAAAAGAAGGGATCTTATTAGGTAGCCCAGGTTAGTCTCAAACTCACGGTGATGCTAGTATCTCAGGCATGGCATCACCATCGTATGAGGTTTGGTACTTTTGTGGCGTTTCCACCAGCCTCAAGTTTCAGCAAGATAAGGTGAAGGCGTCACCTGCCAGTGTGTCTCCTAACAGGCCCTCGGGAAATGCCTGGCCTGCGTGGGGGGTGGGTGGGGGACGCTCGGGGCCACTGCCTGGAAATAACCGCCTCTTTGTTTGTCTGCCCGAACCAGTGAACTCCGGAGATGGCATCGACTACAGCCAGCAGAAGAGGGAGAACATTGGCGACCTGATCCAGGAGACGCTGGAAGCCTTCGAGCGCTATGGCGGAGAGGATGCCTTCATCAACATCAAGTACATGGTGCCCACCTACGAGTCGTGCTTGCTGAACTGACAGGGCAGCCGCTGGAGGGGGTCCTCCCCCGGTGCCACAACCATCCGTCCCCACCGCTCCCAGCATCTCGTTACTTGTGACTTGTACAGCTCTTCCTCTACAGCTGCAAACCTATTGGCTTTCTGGGCCATCAGACTGTTAGCCCCATTGAGAGCAAGGCTTTCTGATACATAAATAGTGCCTGTTTCTTCGATTACAATAGTGTACTGTGCTTATTTTTCCACGAGGAGAATTGCTTCTTTATCCAGCTCAGATGGAGGCAGGAGTCCGAGTTAAACCTTCAGTTGTATAGACAATAAAAAACTATAATTTTCATATGCGGTTCAGCAGTGGCTGTGCTGTGTCTGCCGGCCCTGAGGGTGATATGGGGGGGCGGGGGGACTGTAAGGAAGAGTTTGTGCTGACTGCTTACTAGGTGTCTGTCGTGGAAGAGAAGCATCACTCCAGCGGTGCCTCTCCAGCAGCTGTGTGGAATAATGTGCTTTGACATTCAATAAAACTGTTGAATCTGTATTCCAATTATAACAGGAAATGTTTGCAGCCTGTTATAACCTCAGCTATAACTATAATTAATGTTTCTGGCCAACCAGTGATCTGGGTTTCAGGGCCTTTGCAGTTCGTATTTGGGTGCAGGTGAGATGTCCGGGGGAGGGTCTGGAGTCAAGAGTTAGGTGAGAAATGTTAAGTTTGCATCACAGTTCTAAGGAGAGAGCTGGCTGGCATCCTTGCTCCACAATTGCGAGGCTGGTGCTGTACATCTCATGGCATCCCAAGGCTAGGTGTGCTGTTGACAAAATGTTGCCCAGCAGTTTGTTCAGGGCTTTTCATCACTCCTGAGCATGGCAGTGTGCCTCTTAATGACCTTTTGGAAAGGATCGATGTCGCCCCCAGCAATTCTTCCCAGTTGTTCTGTTCTCACAATCCCACTCAACGGGTCTGATGGCAGGATTCGGGAATTTTATTGAGTACAGAAAAGACAAAGGACTTGTACTTTCTCATTCATCAGAGAAAGAAAAGTTGCAAAGCAAAGACAAACCACAAGGCAGTAGTCGGCCTTGGACCATGACTGCTCAGACATGCCAGGCAGGAAGCTCGGGGCATTTGAAACCCGGCCCAGAAAACTTCATAAAGCAGGAGCCAGGGCTGCACACCTGAGAAATGGCTTAACCTCCCAGAAACGCCTCGCCTCAAGTATCTCACTTCTGAAGCAAAGTGCAATTCCTGCATAAAAGCGAGGAAAGACCACGTGTTCCTCCTCTCCCTGCTCTCTGGCCCCATCATCAGTACTAATTATTTAAGGCTTCCTGTTTCCAAAAGCAAAGGCCCAGTTCTTCAAGTGAATTCATTATTCACTCCCTCAGACCAGCCAGGGACGTGGAGTCTAGCATTGGGGGGTACCACCGCCTGCTTTCGGGAGCTCGCTGAGTGTAGAGAGAGACCCGCGTCCAGGTGAGGACACAGGTGCTTGTAGGGACAGCGTTCGGAAGGCACAGCTTCAGGTCTAGTGACAAGCACAGCTGTGGTCCTGGCATTGCCAAAGTCCGTGATACCGTCAGTTACGAAGACTAAGGCCTGCTGGTGCCTCCTCAGGTCTGGCCTGGAATGGCTCTTACAGGCTCTGCCCTTTCACTCTGACACACGTGAAAACTGCCTGACTTCAAGCAGGAAGACTGGCCTAGAGCTCTAACCTCGACTCAGAACGGAAACAAAACCCTTCATCACCCAGCTCTGTTGCTCATTAGCTGTGCTGCCCTGGGAAAATTCCTTAACCTGCCTGAGCCTCTTGTGCCCTCCACTATGAAGCGCAGTTAGCCTGTCTGTAGGAAAGTGACCCACCTCAGAAGTGACCGCTACAGACGCGTGTGTTGGATGTTCACTAAAGACATTCTGAAGACTCTCGTCCGCCGAAGCAGAGCAATGCACACCGGAACACCCCTCCGACAATGCGGGGCTTCCTACCCAGAGATGGAAAGTGCTTCACACAGTGCGGCAGTTCTTCAGAGGGCCAGACTACCTGCAGAGGCAGGACTTCATTATCGAGAGATTAAAAAGCAAATCCAAACTGAGCCTCACATTTGCGTTGCTTCACTGGTATAGAACTAGGAATGGATGGCCTGCTTTTTCTGACCTTACCCCAAGGCAGGTTTCTACAGTCAGTATAGTTTCCAAGGAAATCAAAAGTGAAAGGCGTATCGTGTGGGGCATTGGGTTTCATTCCCAGTGGAGACAGAGAGAGAAAGAGAGAGACAGAGACAGACAGATAGACAGAAAAACAGAGACAGACACAGAGAGAGAGAGAGAAAAAACAGACACATAGACATACTAAGAGACAGACAGAGAAAAAAACAGAGAGAGAGAGAGAGAGAGAGAGAGAGAGAGAGAGAGAGAGAGAGAGAGAGAGAG